GATGAGATTCTCCAATTTGTGATCAATGCACTTCTAATCCAAAATAATACAGCCATCACTATCATCCTGCTGTGCCCTTGATTATCATACAGGTCTATTCCATCATTCCTTTCTATTCGGTGCAATCCTACTGATATCATGGATGGAATACAACCCAGGACGCTTGGCCTCAGTTTATTTGTAAGCAATGCAAATTACAGAAGACATCCAAAATAAAGTGAGGAAACTGCTAGAATATCGGCCTGTTGACTAGTGGCCACAAGTCTACGGGATCAATTTTGAAAATGACATGGCTTTCCAGGAAATAAAGGTGGCATGATATTACCACTAAAATTCTTACTGCTCTGTAAAAATACAGGACTGGTAACTTATGCCCATAACACCTGAAGATCTGGGTACAGGACCTATCCTGCGTTCATCCACAGATGTAATTCTATGGTGCCCGTTTACAGCATGGCTGACACATCCAACATCAGCTGGCATTTGTTAACCGGGTTAGCCTTCCCAGTTAGTTTCCTGGGACACTGCAGTCTCATTATTGTGTCGTTATCTTGGGTTTCCCAAACCCCATGTTGTGCCCCACATCAAGTCGATCCAGAAAAGCCACGCAATGCTGGTCAGCCCTCAAGAGAAGGGTAGGGGAGGGGGGGGGAGAACATGAGCATTCCCCACCATCCAAGGAGGCTTTCCATAAATGCAGAGCCAACATATGGTGCTCTGGTATGGGGCTCCCCCAAGGAATTATCACGTCCAGGCAGGCCTAGCAAATAGCTTGCGGATCATTGCCAACCGTATTGTATTAATAATCTTTCTACATTGGGGCCCCAAGACTCTGGTCTGCCAGAAATCCCCTTTTTCAACATTTTGGTCCCTGAGTAAACTTATCTGAATCATCATCATAAGGTGCTTTGCTGACTGGCGTGGGCGATCATGCCTCTCCACAATCTGTGATCTCCTGCTATAGTATCAGTTTGTGTGCTGACACACCTCCGTGCCATGCAAGAAGACTGTCAAAAATCTTCTCTCGTTGACTTCCTCTATTCTTCTTTCCAAGATCTTTCCAGTGGTCACAACATGTTCCATTTTCCCTCTTCTCGTAACATGGCCGAAAAATGATGGCTGTCTCCCTCTGACATCTGTGATAAGTTGTCTTTGAGCTCCCGCCTCTTTCAAATCCTCTTGGTTGCTCTTTTTTTTTTGGCTGTCCAAGGTATTTTAAGCATTCTTCTGTAAAACCACATCTCTAAGGCCTCAAGAAATTGTTTGGCCTGCCTACCAATTGTCTAATCTTACAGCCATATGTTAAAACTGGATGTATGTAGCAAGCAAGAACTCTTTTCTAACCTTCAAAGACACAGATATATTGCATTAAATGTTCTCTTAGCTGAATAGCCCTCCTAGCTGTAAGGGAAATCTATGATAATACTCTTGACAAACAGCTGACTTTTTTGTTAAGCAAGTCAGCCTTGTATATGAAGGTAACCGGCAATTCTGAAAGAAATTAATTTGCATAGGCACAAAGACAGTTAATGTCTTAACAGTACAAGTAAAGATATTTTAGTAAATAAAACAAAATTGAAAAAAATTCCCACCAAAATTATCAGGAACACAATCGATTTCAGTGCTTTCCAACATTTCCTAATAGTTGTTAAGACACATGAACATTTCATAATAATGTATGTTTAATTTTCATTTCTTATTAGCAATTAATTAGTTCCAATCGCAAAAGCAGAATAAATTGCTAATACCTGAAACGTATAATAGCCTCACAATACAAACACCACCATTAAACAGGTCTCATAGAATTTCGCTCTCTTTAAATATTATGTGCATCAAAGTCACTGACCATAACTATTAAAATGCCAATCATTTGAGTTATGAGTTAGATTACCTTCACAGCACTCCGGACACATCCATAGGCGCTCAGATTCCTCTGTCAAATTATTTATCAGCGTTGTGCGGTTAATAGTGCCAGTCCTATGTTGATTAACAAGACTTTGTGTGCGCTCAGTGTGCCTCTCATGCTTGGCTGTGCCGATCTTGACTCCCAATTTTCGTATTCTTAGCAGTGACAGTCATTTGCTCCTTTCCTTATCACTGCTCTATTTTCAATAGAAACAGTGCTAATGTGGACCAATTCCCTTCATTCTTTGTCTTCTGCCCTTCAGCTCTCAATGGGGCACAGGCCCTCAGCCACTAATTCATGCCAGCTGTTCAACTTTTGCTATCACGTGTGGCTCACCCTTTGTCCTCATCTTTTTCACTTCATTACAATTCCTTTCTCGTGTTCTCTGGTCTGCTCTTATTATTTTGACCCTGTGGGTTCCAATGCAGGGAGATTCTGGTTATATTATTAACTGCATTATAGCAGCGAAAATCCTAGGCTTCTCACCAGTTTACTAAACATAAGAGATCAGGGGTGACATTGTTATGATCCGAAGGCACAATTTGCTCCAAATAATGTTCCAGTTGGTTGGCACCAGCCAAGATTATAAATAGTTTTTTTTAATGGTATAAAATTTCTTTTAATTTCACTGCCAAATCCGGCAAAGGCTACAAGAAAGTTATCCTCAAATGCTTGATGGCTTTTCTCAAGTGCGTTAGGAGCTACGAGGGAATATAATTTAAAAAAAAAAAAATATACGCACCAAAAATAAATTTTCTATTTCTTATTGAGTTCTCAGGCGTATAGTATAAAGATTCATATAAGTATCTGTACGCTTTTTCAACAAATAAATAAAGCACACCCAGAAATCTGGTTTTGTATGTGTCGTTTTTAAGGCATTCTTTGTTTTGTTTTTTATCAATGAATAACCTGGCATGTTGCAACCAAGCTGAAGTTTATCTACAGTGTCTTAAAACTACTTGTATAAAGACTTCTATGCTAGTCATTCCCAACAGCTACGCTGATGGTAACAGTTTCAATGACATGGCTGCCTGAGTTAATCACTGACATCACAGTACTTAGGATATTCCAATAACTTAACTGCTCTACCCAAATCTCCAGCAGCCAGCTCAGAGTTCCAATTCCGACAGTACCAGTATCAGTCTGACTGTACGTCCATCTTGCCTCTCTTCCGAGTTATTACTGCCAGCCAGATCCCCAGTCACTATTCGCTGCTTCATTCTCTTCAGACCATGACGATCCATCTGTGCTTCCGCACAGCTGACTCGCTCCCAAACAGCCCTGAACACATCCAACTTGCCATGAGTAACTTAGGGTTGCCCAAGTCAGGCAGGTCCAGGTGTAAGGCCAGACAAAAAACCCAGCTGTCTTGTAGGCTGGGGGAAGTCAAAGGCTAGAGAAGACAAACTTGACAGAAAAATCACATGATATTTGGATGCCACATCACTTTATGATGATATGATCTCCAGAGAAAAAATCTTAGGAACCATGGGTCAAATAAATAGTCTGATCATCTGTGTAGGCGGATCTAGGTTCCTCTTATAGCTGCTGCAACCATCACAATGAAATCAAATGGACAATCAAACGTGATCATGAATTCAAAAGTCCAAAAGACATTTTGTTTTGCACTCAACAGAAATCACAAGCAGATTTCAACACACAAATATATAACATTTAAAATGCAAAGTTGGTGACAGTACGAAAAAAGGATATTAAACAAACTGCAAATTTTAAAGACTGACTATGAAGAAAGCAATAATTTCTACAAAAGAGAACTAAATAGCAACAAATAGACAGAAAGTGAAGTTGCAGGACAACAATAAACAGAAGTATAACCAGATAAAATCTTATATTCATAAACAGGAAGAACAAAAGGCTGTGTTCAAACAAGATGGGAATATGAAGAAATCAAAGAGAAATAATTAGAAAAAATGGCATCATGGGCCAGAAGAAAAAGCATACATCAGCATAAGGTGCACACTGCCTAATGACTAGACCAATACAAAAAGGGTCTATGCTAGAAATCCACTCTTTCATAAAAACCTGACGAACATAACAGAGCAAAAAATAAATAAGCAAACAAAATCACATGCATATATATACATATATACATATATATATATATATATATATATATATATATATATATATATATATATATATATATATATATATATATATATATGTCATTCTCCCCCATGAGTCTTCTGTATATATATATATATATATATATATATAATATATATATATATATATATATATATATATATATATATATATATATATATATATATATATATATATATATATATATATATATATATATATATGCATGTATATAATCAACTGAATGCTTCTGAATGACACATATGGTTAAATTTCACAAAAATAAACAAAAATGGTCAACCAATAACCTCCAAAATCAATTCATAAGTCTAAAGTAACATTTTCTCACAATAAAATAACATATGTGTGCTTTTAGATCCTTGCTGAAGATGCAAATGAAAAAGACAAAACAAAAAGGACAGTGCAAATCTCTGCAGTTTCAAACTATTCACTTGTCATATTCGGATACCCATCTTATTCAACATTTTTACTTTCAAACATTTATAATGCCCCATACGGACTGCTACCACCAGAAAAAGCTCTAATTAAAATTTACATACAGGCAGACATACTATCTATATCTTCGCTTCTGTCAGATTTAGACTCCAAGACATCATTACTCAAAACCACACAGAGACCTCACACTGCACACAACTACCAAAGACAAAATGTGCACTGTCGTATTATAAAGCCAGGCTATCTGCATCAGTTCAAAAGTTCAAGGCTGCAGTTATATTGTAGCAGTCAACGAGGAGTCTTGTTTAATGAAAGACTGAAATCTCCCATCTTGCATTATTTCCTACATCCATACAAGTTTCAACATAAGCGGATAACTGGATCCCCAACGTGAGATAACTCGTCCAAAAATATGGACCTTCATAGGCAAACATCTGCTGGATTAAAAGTCAGCAACAGTGGCAACCAGAGAGAAGAAAAGTGAACGGGTCCATCCGAGGTAAGTCTGAGCTATACGTATCACTCATGCCAATCAGTAGTCATCTAGATCGTAATCGTCAAGCAGCAGGTCTTTATGAAGGGGGTCTAGAGCCTGGAAGTCCACCTGATACCGCAAAATGCCTGCAAGCAGAATAATTTACAATCAATCAAACCTGTTGCAAATATACCTGACATGAAATTCTAGAGTAGATTTTCTAGAGTAGATTTTCAATGCTAAAAATACTGAGTCACAGTAAAGAGATCGAATTTTTCTGTTTGGGGCAAAAATAAACATCCTAATCTGCAGTCTGGGGCCACAGCAACAGCCATGCTGCACTAAATCCTCAGGCTCACAAACATCCCCCTTCCCCCTTTTTCTACCCAAACTGCCATAAAAAGTGGTAAACACATACAATATTGACAGCAGGAACTGAAACGGCTGGGGTATACAAAGAGAATGTCAGATGACAAATGAAGTAAAAACTGTACACACAAGGGAGCTGAATGGTCATCAGATCATTAAGCAGGCCAGAAATGGAGAGATAATATCTAGACAAACCTATAAACACTTTATGTCACCAATTTAAAAAAAGACGGGCAACTACAGAGATCAATGGAGGCGGGTGATATCTGCAGCAACGAACCTCAAGGGCCGGAATGCCGATGAAGAAGAAGAAGAAGTGACAGTTGGATAGGAGGTTCATGATCATGAGGATTGAAAATCACATGGCAGCAGCCATCATGAATTATGCAGGTGTGGATTTTTATTTCTGACCAGCCAGAGAAAAATCTCCACCATTTACTGAGGATCAAATCAAGGTCTCCCAAACAATCAAGCTTAAAGTAACAGGCGAAATACCAGAGGGTTTTCAAAGTGAATGGAAACACCAAGAAGCAAATTTTCATTATGAACAGAAAGCTAAAAGTTAAAAAAAAAAAACAACCACCATCATGACTTAGATTTTTATGTGAAAACATTAAAGACATCAAACCAAAAAATTAACAATGAAATGAGACCAGACAGTAAAACTCCATTGTGAAAAGACAGAAAAAAAAAAAGAAAGATACCTGACTACATTTTTTATGTGAAGCTGTTACTATGTGTGAAAGCAGATAAAAGTTCTTTCTAACAGGCCATCTTACAGTCATTTACCACCCTTCAATTTTTAAAACATATAGACACCAGTCTACTGCTCCGCAGCCTGAGCTACTGAGTATAGTGCTTGGTGCAGCCCTGTGAGCTGTGTTTTTCATGTGGAATGCCTTTTGTTTATGCAGCGGTTGAGTCATATTAAAAATGGCCAGTAGTTGGTTTACAAGTGGTCTTTTACCTTATGTAATTAATCTATGTGTGTATAGCCAACTTATTGTGCCCGACTACTTCCATTAACGACGAACAGCATTTCTGGTGGCGACTGCTGGCTTTGGAGCCTCTAGCTACGGCCATATGCATTTACTGCGTCTGCATTTACTGGATTGTTCCAGGACTGTCTGTTCAGTTTTGTTTTGTTTTTATGGGACGATTAGGGACATTTCATTTGATTTTCACTGGCACAGGAATGGAGCAAGTCTTGGGTAACCCAACTGCAGTGTAATATTTTGACCAATTACAGCAAACTAAAATGTACTCACCATGTTACAACTTGTATTGCAGTATAGGAGGGGTGGGAAGTGTTACAGCCTTAGCACTAAAGCCACATGGCTGGTGTAGTTGCCATAAACTGTGCAAGTTAGGATATATTTATTTCTGCTGCCGAAAGAAAAACATCCATCCCTCACCGAGGATCACACCCGGGTCTCCTGCATAAGAGCTTACGGCGTTAGCAAGTCAGCCTGTTGCTCCAGTAAACAGTATACCAGCGCCCTATAAAATGCTTTATTCTCTCTGGCAAGAGACGGTCTCTTGAAGAAGAAATAACTAAAACCCAGGGAAAAAACATTAACTAATCAGAATGTGCTAAAGCATGACCTATTACATCTCAGTATGTCTCTGTAGATACCCCAGTGCTGGTCTTGCACACCCCACTGTTCTCTGAGTGTTGAGAGGGAAGGAGAGCTCTGCAGCAGTCTCCCATGGAGGTGTACTTTTGTACCAGGCTTAGAGAAAAGTCTGCTCCAATCTCTCTTCAACAGATGCAAACCCTTTAAGATTAAAATAACCTGCATGCCAATATATCAGATTGTTAAAACACTGCCTTTCAAAGGAAGGCCCAACTAACCAGCCAATAAAGGGTTACAATCAGTGGACACTCAGTACAGAACAACAACAAAGAGAAAACAAGTTTCACTGTACCTCCGATACCACCAAAGCCTCTCACAAACTGGGCACCTTCTTGTGATTTGTCTGTAATAATCTCAAGTGTGGCCCCTAAAAAGTAATGTAATTAAATGCAGAATAAATATCAACTCAACAAATACGACTGACTGTAAAAATGGCCGTAAACTCTGGCAGAAGGTTCTGGTTTTGTTCGTCCACCTGCAAACTTTAGGCTTGCATATTCTTTACAGATCTGGCTTACTTGCGTGCAGACTGTTGGTTCATAACCTCTTAAGCACATGCCATGCACTCTGACTTCAAAGGAAAACTCCTAATTAGCTGCCTTTTATGACACGCTGTCCGGTAAAAGGGGGAGGGGGCCGTCGGTGTATCCACCCCACCCCCACATGGGGCCACAAAACCCACAAAGTAAAAAAAAAAAGATATTACATTCTCTTCTTACAGTCCACATCGATGGGATTTGCAGCCATGCCTTTCTATATGCTTCTATCTCATGTACTTTCACTTATTATTAAGACAATACAGATTATTCTCCATGCCATGGTGGCAAACTATCCAGCATTTCTCTCTAGGTCTCCCTCTGCCTGTCAGGATTACCCCGTTTTCCCCCTTCTCATGGTGTGACCAAAGAATGCAGACTTCTTGTGATGCTGGCAGCTCTCTTCAAGAGTTTTTTTCTTTTAAAACATCACCACAATTGTTATATACCCATGCTGTTCTCATCATTAGGCTATAACAACCACACTTCTGCAGCTTCAAAATAATTGTTTACCATTTAACCAAATGCATAACATAATATCAATCATATCTGATATCTTCATTAATCAACAGACCCTTTAAAGAAGATCATTCGTTATAGCATGCCTGAAAGTCTCTCTTTTTCTAGCCAATTCTCCAGCCCTGATGTGCTTTCATAGCTAATGCATCTTCACTATCTTCATCGTCAGGAAGGTCTGCCTCTGCCTAGATTGCTGGAAACTGTACCCTCCATCACCGCTCTCTCCAGGCCACCATGACCTTTAACATGGCCAATATATCTTCATTACACTTGTCACTGTTCATACAAGACAGTCTATAAGCATGTTAATTTAAAAATATTTATGTTGTACAGTAATCACAAACACTTTTGAAAAAAAAAATTTTATGCCTTACCAAAATTTTTATAGTTGTTAGCAAACCATTCCAGAAGAGGCATTTGTTCTATCAACTCCAGCTCAACCCCTGTCTGTGAAACCAAAAACTGACATCATATATCTGAGTGTGTATGTTTATATACACATGCTACTCATACAGCTACTACATACATATATACAAACATAAAGAAAGACATACATCTAGTATCTCCTTCTTTTCTCTACTTATGGAATGCCTGACAGCGTCAGGGCAGGAAGAAATATATCTCTGAAAAAGGAGCTTCCATTCACATTGTATAAAGTGCTTTTCAGTGTGTCCGATATTTCTGCTGTCCATATTCTGCGTGGTCAACCTCTGGCTCTGTTACCGCTGTATAACACTGCTTTCTGTGGTGCCCTGTCTGATGCCAATCTTGTGACATGGCCAAACCATTTGATTAGTTGTTTACCTATAAGGTTCAGCATTGGTTCTGTGCCCACTCTCCTCATGATATCATCTATTGGTACACTTAAAATATTTCATTATAGCTGCAGGAGATGATAAAAGATTGTGGAAGGGCCTGGCGTGAGTTGGTTAAGGATCTATGCTTCATTGAGGGATTAAAAAAAGTTAGCGCAGCAATCAGTTGTGCCCTTACAAATGCTCAAAAAAATTGAACTAATGTGTTCAATTCCACATTCCCCAACTGATATTTCCACAAAATTATCTTCACAAAAGTAACCCCAAAATCACTGATTGCCTTTAACTTTATTAATGCCAGGTAAAACCTTTAGTATTCTATTATCACTTCATGCTAGGGAGTGTACATTTATAAAACTTTCATGCCCGGATTATGTTTTATCAGTCTTTCCATATAGTAGTCTGTAGAACAAATTAAAGGGGTCTGTTTTTCACTTACAGATTTTAATTTTTTAAACTTTTAAATGCAAGCCTTTTTGTAATTCTAATCTTTATAAATTATATTAAATTCAGTACCACTGTTTAATATGGGGTCCACAGTAAAACTTTGAAAATAAGAAAGGTTTGCAGGTCTTAGCTAACAGGGAAACACTGTGTATTATATTTTCATTAAATAAAATTCTGGCCTGTTCAGAGGTTGTCAATCTTTACAACTCAAAGGGGTACACTGACTATACCAGAAACATGTATATTTGACATTGATTTCCCAAATAACTTATAATCCAAATGCATGGTGTTCTACACCAGCGGTTCTCAAACTGGGTGCCGCGGCAATAATCAAGAATTTTTCAAAATATGCTTGAGATCAACGAAGAGAGCAGTTTAAAACAGAAATACCATGAAGGAAGCGAAGAAGAGTTCTGGATGCAGGTGTATTCAGAAGACAATGTTATTGGCACAGCTGCAGTGCATTCTCAATGTACCCTTACATAAAAAAACAGATTCCGGAGCATACTTTCTGGGTCAAGTGATCTCAGGGTACAATTAACTAAACTTATCAAAAAACATAAAGGAAATAATCAAAAATTCATCCAAACATTTTCATTCATTTTGCATTAAAGAAAACTGAAGATTAAATGTGCACTGTTTTTTTAAATTTTCCTAAGTATTCAAGGGGCTTTAAGGGTAGGTGTGTCGCGAAAAGAATGTGCCCGAAAAAGGTGCTGCAGCGAAAAGAGTTTGAGAACTGCTCTCCTAAACAATCCTTACCTCCTTGTCTGTGAAGTATGTCTTATCCTTTTCTTGGTCTGGCCTCAAATGTAAAATTTTTTCTTCTGTTGATGACAGACAATAGAATTTGTAAAATCTTAGCAGAAATTCACAGAAACTATTAAATTCTTTCTTTCTTCTATGAAGTTTATGTCTGGCTTTTGTGATTTCAGCAAGGTGTTTGAACTGTTTGTTATGGATGGGAGGTAGAGGTGTACCACACGTGGCAGTGCACCATGACCACAGGCATCATACATGTCAAGCTGAGCTGAGCTGATTCAAGAACCGACACATCACAGCACTCGGGGTATTCCCATAAACGCTCCGTCTATAAATCTTTAAGAGCCAGCTCAGAGTTCTAATACCAATGGTGCTAGTAGCATTCTGATTATACTTCTATCTTGCCTTTCCTCTGAGTGTCGAATATCAGCCAGAACCCCTCGTCACTCCCCCTTGCATCACTCTCACCAGACTGGTGACAGATTTGCTGTTCTGAATTGTACACGCTCTCCGACAAGGCCCTAACCACACCTGCCTTATCATGCATCAATATTCTACCAAGTTGTGCAGTTTTAAGTTGGATGTTGTAGTATCAGATACTACTCTCCAGCACCAAACATCAACCATTAGCTTTTGCTAAGAACCCCCAAGCACTTCTTTTGCCTCTTGACACTGAACGGTCTGCATAAATAATGACATCCTCTGAGCGAGCATTATCTTGAATTTATTGCTGAATTTCCACCTCTGTGGCACCTGCTGGCATTCTCTGCACTCCAGGCTCCATATAATTATGACTCTAAACTCTATAACAGAAAAGACTAAAATGAATTAACAATGTCATACCATCATTTGTATGGTTTTTTAAAACAAATCTCTGAATGTCCAAGTTTTCCCATACAATGAGAATATCCACTGCTCCCATTTCCATGGCCTTCAGTGTGTCGTCAACTCCAAAGCAGTATTTGCCAGTATCTTGTGAGATCTCATCAAAGTACCGCCCTGGTGAATCAAATTAACCTGAATTTATATCACATTCATTCACTCTCAAAAACAATAAAGCAACAAAATTAAGAAGTATGTTTCCTGTGCTGGGTCCAAGGCCCCATCATCATCCCCCTCCCCCCATGTGTGTGTGTGTGTGTGGGGGGGGGGGGTGGAAGTTACGACCACCTCACCGCCCCCACCCAACAAGCATGCCGTAAAAGGAACTAGGAGTCTGCTGAAATGTAATGATTGAGCAGAACAGTGCAGATATCACAAATGGACAGTAATGACTTTCTGGAAGTGCGATGACTTTCTTTTATCTTCTATCTGGCTCGCATCATCGCACGCTTGCTGCTATCTATCTCACATACCGACATCACACGACGAGCAGAAAATGGACGACTGGGAAAACAACACGATACTGTTCCAGCACTTTAATCTTCCACTCGCGGCTTACACAGCCGGCACATGAAATAGACTACTGTCCAGGCACACATTATAACTCAAATATCAAAGTATCAACTGTTACCTTTTGTTCGAAATCACAATCATCCTACCCTATCCTAATGAACGAAAACACAACAGCTGTCCTGACAGAAAACTAACACGGCCCGCCGGCAGGTTGCTTGCCAGCTTTTTTGCCAAGTTGGACTGGAACAAATTCACTCAAAACATCTGTTAAATCCACACATCATCCATCGTTGTCCATGCACTCTGTTCCTGGGCCCAAACAAGACTGACTCTCAACCCTTTCTACGCTATTATATAGCTTTCTAATCCCTGCTTCGTTTTTCCTGAATACTCCGTGTCTCTTCAGTTTTCACGAAGTCCATTTGGCCGGAAGTGGTGCGTGGCACGTTTTTCTTCGTACTTCGCATGAAGTTCGCCAGTCAACATTTCTCTTCACGTGAATAATTATACTTCACACAAAGTTTGACTATCAGCCTTTTTCTGTAACTCCTGTGAAGTTCAGACTCAACAATCCCCGTGCCGTCCCAGTTAGAGTTAAAATATTTCACTCACATTTATTACTGACGTCATCTGTCGGGCATAAATTAACTGGGAGAAAATTAGATTCACTACAGGAAGGAGTTTTGTGTGTGTGAAAAACACAAACCATAGGTCATTTTGAATTTCTTAATTTTGAGAAAAATGTGCATCCTAAACAACAATATAGAAATGCTCACAACCAAAGACATTACAAAATGGAATACTCAAAATACAACATTGACATTCTTTTCAAGTTAAACTTCAAAGAAATCTTTCTACAGCCCAGCAGACACATCCTTCAATGTGTTGATAATACTGGTCTTCCCCCCCCCCCCCCCACACAATATATTTTCATACCTTCTGGTTTAGAATTACAACTCTTCTATTCTGTAATTTAAAAAATAAACATTAAAACTTAAATATCTTGCAATCTATACAGAACTGTAAAACTATATTCGGACAAAACTTTCTGAATATAAGACAAGCTTCTTAACCTTCAAATGTTTAGTCTTGGTAAACATGCTGGACTGACTGCACAATTAACATTCTAAAAAAAAAACATTTAAAAAACAATTAGGTTATTACCTATTAGTTTCTTTTCCTGGATAAATTTGACATTTGCTAAAGAGTCTGCTGCAAGTTCAATTGCCTGATTGAAGCCATTCTCACCACCATAGGAGACGTCCACAATTTTGATAATTTTCCCTTGCAGACGCTGGTGATTATGAAGTAAAAATTCATAGCCGTGAAATTATAAAAGTTACCACACAAAAGAATACCAAACAAAGTTACCATATGTAAAAGCAAACAGGCTTACAAAGGTCCTCCCATATGTGTCTGAAATTCTCTTCTTAGCGTTCAATGGCTATAAATTATGTGGCAGAAAGTTCTGGTTGTTCATGCACTTCTGGACTTGTTCAAGAACTTGAGTACCACCTGAGCATGCGCATCCATTTCACAGATCAGCTGTATTTGTATGCTGACTGTTGGTTCATCGCCTCTCAGGCAGACGCACTCTGATTTCGTAAGACGCACACTAAATTAGTCACCTCCTACAAGATGCCTGCGGGGGGGGGGGGGGGGGGGGGGGGGGGGGGCAGAAGCATTAGATGGATGTGCACAAAAACTCAACTTTTGGAAAAGACCAAAGTCCGAAAATGGGTGACTTAACTAGAACTTTCCACCAGAATTTACAATCGGCATAATTTAACAACTCTGGGATATAACAGATTTAGTACTAAATATAGGAAATACAGAAGCACAGATGATCAAAACTCTTTAACTCACACAAAAAACTGATGATGCTTTCCAGAAAAATACAAACTGCTAGCTACTTTTTTGACCTTTTTTGGCCTTTGATAAGATCTAGAAGTAAGGACTCTTGCTAAAACTAGCACAAATTAGGATAAAAGGGCATAGGTTTACCTGGGTTAGAGACTTTACAGAGGCTGCGTGAGAGTCAGACTGGAAGAACACAACAGCAAGCTGATCAGGTTACAAAAAGATGTCACCCAGGGAGGTATTATATCTCCTACCCTGATTCTTTTTTTTAATCAATGACCTCCCAAATCAGTTCAAGATTTACAAGGCCCTATTTGCAGATTACCTGATCAAATGGACCCAAGCTGAACATGTAGGAACAAGTAAAATAAAAATGCAGGAAACTATAAATATAAGTAAGAAATGCACAGACTCTTGCGGAGTCACAATAAACCATCTCTACTCTTTTCTCTCTTTCCACAAATCTAGAACAGGTTGATCTGTACCTAGAAGGCAACATCCTTCCAAAAAAGAAAAACCCCATATATTTGGGAGTAAAATTTGACAAAAGACTAACCTGGGGCCCCCACATTGAAGAGACCCAAAGGAAAGCTAAAATTTGAAAAAGAAATTGTTAACCTTGTGGGGCATGTCAGTCTCTTGTTTTCCCTATAATAGAGCCCCGGAATCCATACAGGGAACAAGAGCCTATCAATAGACCTAACAGAAAGCAACATACAACAATTTTCCGTCTATGAACAGGACACAACAGATTCAACTACCACATCCATAAAATAAAGACTGTACAGTCCTCACAGTGTGCCTGTCAGACAGAACCACAAACACCTGAGCACATCCTGCAGACCTACCTACCCTACCCACAACTTCTAAAAGAAACTGGGCCTCAAGAGCAAAGTGTGCAGAGCAAGCAAGCTATGGGCAACCATGAAGGACCTGCTGCTGGCATGCAAGTTCATAGAGGCCACACGAAGAGTAAACAAAGGGATAACTAAAATTGTTCTTACCGGATCAAACATGTCAGACTGACTGAGCTCAGTTTTGAAATCAGCAGATCCAGCTAGAACTAATCCTGCAATATTCGGTTTATCATTTGTGATGAACAGCTGAACTGCCACCTCTGCTACCTTCCGTACATAGTTGTGCCTCTTCTCCATCCTCAAACGAGCAAAACGTAGAGCAGACTGACCTCCTCTACCTAGAGAATAAATAGACAAAAATGTCTATTACTGTCCATATCTGATAACTCGATCAATAACTGCAGGGGTTCATTCTTTCACATTCCCTTCTCACAACTCTAGTCTCATAAACTTGCAGGTCTTAGTTTCAAGTACATTGCAATAAGAACTTACAGGTTTTAGTTTCAAGTACACAACTTGCAGGTCTTTGTTGCTCTGTAACGATGACCCCAATGTTTTGTCAGTTGTTCTGTAACAATGACCCCATGATCATGTCCGCTGCTCTGTAACAATAACCGCCACCGTCTTGTCAGTTGTTCTGTAACACTGAACCCATCACCTTGTTGTTCAGTAACACTGACCACACTGTTGTGTCAGCTGCTCTGTAACGATGACCCCACTATCTTGTCAGTTGTTCTGTAACATTGACCTGAGCGTTATGTGGTCTGCTTTGTAACGATGATCCCACTATCTTTGTAGTGAGTCATTTTCTCCTCATTAATTTATGCCCGATAGATGACGTCAGTAATAGATGTAAGACGAATGTTTTGACTGGCTGAGATAACACGAGATTTATGTCTTGAGTTTCATGAGAGACATCTGAAAGTCAGGTTTTATGTGAAACATGATTGTTCACAGGATTTGTGTGAAATGTGAATTATCACGGGCCAGACACGATTTTCAACAGTGGGAAATTCGTGAAAATGAATCCAGAATATTCTAGAACAGGAT